GATTTCATGTTGGAAAGACTACGGTGTTTAAGACCCTATCAAGACACAATGTTTTGTTCCGGGGAAGGCGAAAAGCTCCAAAATACACAGAGGCTCAGTTAGAAAGAATTCCAAGATGTTGCCGCGCGTTGAGGCGAGTGCATTTTGCCAACAAGTTGATCGTGATGGACGACGAAAAATATTTGACTTTGGCCAACTCTGCGATGAAGGGCAATGATGGTTTCTACACCGACGATCACGCAAATGTTCCTGACGATGTGAGATTCAAGAGCAAAAAGAATATTGAGGACAAAATATTGGTATGGTTTGCAATTTCTGAGGCTGGTTTCATTTCACAGCCCTACATTGGCGTTGTTCGTGGTGAGGCCTTAAATGCAGAGCGATATATTGACAGATGTCTTTCTAAATTGCTTCAGTTTTTGAATACACATCATGCGAATTACGAAATTATGTTTTGGCCAGATCTTGCTCTATGCCATTATGCGAGAATCACAAGGGATTGGTATGGGGCCAACAACATCAACTTTGTACCGAAAGTGGACAATCCCCCCAACCTACCTCAGGCACGCCCAATTGAAGATTTCTGGGCAATATTATTGAGCCGGAAAGTCTACAATAACGAATGGGAAGCACAAAATCAAGAACAACTTCGACGTCGTATATCGGGAAAAATCAAAGAAATCAACGCTGGGGTCGTCCAAAGGATGATGCAACGCGTCAGAGGAAAACTCAGGCAGATCGAAGACAACGGTCCCTTGTCGATTATTTGAACTTTAGGTAAGGATAAGAATAGTTAAGAGATATTGTAAGATTATTTGTTAAGATTATAAAAATTTATTTCTAAGAGTTGTCAGCATCTGATTTTTTTCCCAAAACTTTCGGATCATACCTTATTTTATAAATTAAATATCAATTATTTCGATTGCAGAAAAAATTGGACTATAGAAACCCCGACAAAAAATCTATTTTATAGGCTGGAATATACTTATTAGATAGTACCTCCTGTCTTGGTGAAACATTTTATTTCAGAAATATGATATTACTCAAGGCCAACTACTATTGGTTCTCATCGGTAAACAAGCTGATTGACAAAAAACGCCCACAGCTCTCGATTTTGAAGATGAAAAATACCAAATGAAATCACTTATCAGATATTATGAGCATAGGCTCTCGATCATTATAATAGAAACTTTCAGTCCTCCACTAAGCCAATAAGGAATCATCTCCCTCAATATTTTCATGTCATTTAGGAACACCCTATATACACACTCCACTCACTATGATAAGATTATAAAATCCTCAGGTTCTTATTATATCTTTGCAAGCTCCTCACATATCAAGTTATGCTAATTACAAATAACCAAATCGAACTTATATGTTCGATTATGATTCGATTGATTATTAATAGCGTTCTGTGCCTAATTCCTGACTGGCACGAATGCAAAAGAGACTAATAAGAACCATCTTCAGTTTCAGGAAACGAAACTTATAAAGTGGATTCGGTCGCATGTTAATCAATAATATAGTGCCACTTCATTAAAATTCATCTTGCAATATCTTAGAGTTAGCAATAATAATTCAGAACCCAGCGAAGCATCATATTATTTCGCAAGGGAATGGTTTTAATGGAATCAGCCACCATTCAGTCGTCGCAGTGGCTAAATGACCGCTACCGTAGAGTGAGTATAAGTGGGACAAATCTCATAGTTTATATCGAATATCTTTCCGATACGAATACATTACTTCATTCTAAAAATGTTTTGTCTTGTCCACAAGTTTTTTGTGCGGCAAAGTACCGCATTGTTTTGTTTGATATTACATATTGGTAGTAGGTGAAAATTATTTTACCGACTGAATGTCACGTAGCCATTTCCTCGGTTCCATCGAGTTTTCAGTGCTTGAAGTTACAGGTAGCCGTTAATATATTTACAAAAAAACTAAGTCTAATCTACTTCTTTGTTGTCTTCTGTGTTTTGCCGTTTGTTGAAGTCCATGGGACCGTGACATTCTTCCGAAGAGATAGAATCATTAAGATTTTACTATAACCCATTTGACAAAGTCGAGATAATTATTGTAATGGAACGTGAAAAACTAGTACAGTTATTGCTATAGCAGCGGTATTTACTAGGTCAAAAGTGGGTGGTTCGAATGAGACTAGATTTTTTCTATAAAATGCAATAGAACAAGTCCGGAAAATACTGTGTACGAGTAGACAAAATTCTACGCCCAGCCGTAGGCGAGTCCTGGAAGTCTGCGACAAAAAAATTGTATTTGGGCGTGTTGCGTAACAATTTTGTCGGCAACTATATCGCTATAGCTGCTGCTTTCGATAGATTATTGCGACAATTGCAACCAAACTTTCAAAAATCCAAATTTCAACTAATTTCATGTCAAATAGCTGTCAGCCGATATTTCGCTGCTATGGTAACTATCATCTGAATTTATCAAAACCTTATCTACCAAGATTCTCATAGTTACAGTGACAACGATGTGATACTTCCCGGGAGGCTGAAAAATTCTACATTCCCAAAGGAAAAGGGTCCGGGAAGTTTCATAAACCAATTTTAATTCTCTTGGTGATGATATTTTAAATTCGGCTTAAAGTGTTATTAGGTATCCCTACTAATAATGAAATCGAAAACATTGTTGGTTATCTCTTTTTTGCTTCAAATTGAATACGCTATTAATTTTGAGGTCAATAATTATAATAAGCATTGTCACATATGGAGAATCATCAATTTGAGTGTATTTAGAGAAAACTTAGGAAATGAAGAACACACTAAAACATTCCAGGATCGAATTTTTCCTGCTGATTGTTAAAAATCAAGTTCAATCATTCTATCTATTGTTACGAATTTTTCAGATATTGAAAATTATTTTATCGAGTATACCTATCTAAGAACCAATATCAAATTTGATATGAGCATATATATGAGACATCAATATTACGTCATATACCTACTTCATGAATCTTCATTTTGGCTTCCTATCTAGGAAGCCATACAATATACATCAGCCTGTACAGAGTCTTGGAACTTTTGGCATACTTGCAACCCTTTGAATTCAAATAAGTATCTCAAAAACCATGCCTGAATAGAAAAATTGGAAGAACAAATTTTATTTTATGAATTAAAAAAGAAATTCAAAAATGGAATCTCCTTCTCTTTGTAAAATAACTAGTGACTCGGAAGAGTGAGAAGGGAAAAGCCAGTAGAGTATTTCTTTAAATGATTCGATTCATTACTTAGAGATGGATTATGATGAGAAACCTAGAACAATGACACCCTGCTCTATCTTCGTAAGGAAACATTTTTTAATAAAGTTTTATCAAGCAAATAGGTTTTTTTTATCACCTATCAAAATTGATGACGCTTAACCCAGGCCGCCTTGTATACACCCTCAATTATTATATTACGTTACCTACCTTTCCCCTTTGTATCGGCGGCCGTTTGACATATGTCAAAGATCGATCCCTTTACAATAAAGCTATTAAGAAATCCGCCTGTATGTAAGAAATTGAACGGTACATTTATTGGTAATAAAAGGGTAGTAATATAATGAAGGGTTGTACTATAATAGAACAATTTGTGGCACCATATTTTCGTCTGGATTTAACTAGGTCAGTCTCGAATTTTGGGACATGAGGTCTTTTGAGTTCGGGGTCCGTTTATACACGGTATACAGTTTTTGTCGACATAAGGTTTACGGAATAATTATTATTCAAAGGAGGGTATAGGTATATATAACGGAAAGGTTGAATATTTTATATTTATATTGGGCCTGAAAAAAAAGCAAAGGGGGCAGAAATTTCTAATACATATAGGTTTAGAAGGGCCAACAACTTCTATTTTTTTCAAAACATTCCGAATTGCCACTTTGGAACTGACAATGATTGACACTTCACCTCGCAATTGCTACAAAATTTCCGGAATGAGAAGTGTATTGTGCGATGCTATGTTGTCACAAAAATCGCATTATTTTTAACATTTTTGTTTTTGCTGGATAGTATCGGAATTTTGTGTTATACTGTAGTATACTATACAAATACTAATTTTGGGTTAATTTCTATATATAAAAAAATAGAAATAAACGTTTTTATTTTCACCACATACAGGGAAGAGAAAATTTCGAAAATTTTAGTGAATAGAACATCCTCTATCGAATATTAATGTACAGTATTCAGTTGTTTTTGAATGGTCAATATTTTGCGTATTGCTGTTTTTTGGACCATACATTCAAGCGATCTTGTGTACTAAGAAACATATTCTAGATTTTTTAGTACATTGCATTTTTTGTTGTTTGGACCATTAGTTTGAGCCACCTGATATATGTACTGAGTAGTTTTATATAGGTACTTATAGGTACTCGCGATAAAAGAATCTATGATATCCAAGATATCTGAACATTTCGTGACAATCAGCAAAACATTTTTTGAACTATATTGCATATTGCTGTTTCTTTATCATCATTCATTCGAGTCACCTTGTATGTTAAGGATTGTTGGGATGGACATCTCATTGTAGGGCAGAGAATTGATAGTTGAAAGGAAATTGTATTTAAAATGATTTTTCATTAATCTTCAAGAATATGGATTCAACTAAGTAAGGGATATTACAATTTACACGCATGATCACATGAATATTGATTTTAATACTAAAGTGTTCAGAAATCTTTGATATATTTATGGAGGTGTACTCTTTGAATATCAAACAACAGTACACGATATTTCTTTATTTATTTAATTGTTTATTGCGATAGCATGCTATGCTATGCTGGCGGAACACAATTTTTCGAAAGTGATGTACAACTTCAGTGGAATGCTATAGTTATCAGGTGTAGGTATCTCGAATTGAGTCATAATTTAGTTCCTTTGTTTATCATCTGATTTGAGGTGAGTGAAAATTATTTTCAATTGATTCGGACATGAAATTTATATTTAAATCTCATCTGGTAACGGATCTATAATAATAACAAAGAAACCATAGTCTATAAATTCAAAAATATATTTGTAACTTACGAAATATTCTTATAGACAAATATTTGTAAATACGATTTATAAAATGATATAAAATATATTCAATATATATACAAATTTTCTTTTTTTTATTTTCTCCAGCATATTCTTATAGACAAATATTTGTGAATACGATTTATCGAATGATATAAAATATATTCAATAAATATACAAATTTTCTTTTCTTTTTCATTTCCTCTAGACAGCAGCAATTGATTGTGGCTCAGAGATTTCAATTGTCATTTATTTCCATATAGGTACCTATTTTATGACTGTTCACTATTTCTTGAGTTCTTTATTCTCTGAGTCATTCTCCTTACTATGGGAAATACCATACGAAAAATATAATATACACCCTGAAATGAAAAAATCATTGAGAATATACCTACCTTATATACCTTCTAAAAATCTTTACTCAGTAGAAAGCTGTCATCAGATGCCAGTTATTTCAACATTGAACAAAGCTATGCAAAATGCTCATCTCTCCTATTAATCATTTCATCAGTTTTCATCAAACAATCATAAATATATAGTCCACTCATTACCAGAGCATCGAACATATTGGTCCTTCCAGCCGGATCAATATGTTGGATGCTTTGGTGATGAGTGGAATGTATATTTATGAATGATAAAAACTGATGAAATGATTAGTAGAAGAGAAATTCCAATCGAGGCGCAGCCGAGTTGAAGAATATTCGAGATGACCAAAGTATTTCGCACACGAGTTGCATACAAAATATTTTGTACAAACGTCAAAAAACATAGTTCTGAAAAAATAGTGTTAAACTGGCGTAAAAGGCCTCTCCCTATCATCCCTAGGTACGCACGATGTTCCACAAACATTATAATCGGAATTTCCTTCCGTGCGGTCCAAGAGATGAAAAAAAATTGTTAAACATCCAGAAATAAATGATTCCTAGGATGTTTGTTCGATTGAGGACCATAACGTTGAAATATAAAAATCTCATATACGTACAATGCGCGAAGTATGAACTTCGAGCACTGCTTCTCACATAGTGTTATGGTAACGTAGGAAACTGAGAAGAAGTGTTGTCATTTTTTGACGTTTGTAGAAGAATTATATGTATTGCAAGTCTTGAATAATCATCTGTTGTGGTCAACTCGCCTATTAAAATCCATACTATGAATCCAACCCAGGTAAATGCTCCGAGATTCATCATCAAATGGGTATGGAATATCACAGAAAGACAAGGAATCAAAGGTACCAGAGGAACCTGAAATATATATTCGAACTATTATATAGGACACAAACAGAAAGTTTGGAAAATCCATACCTTGAAAGTTAGTTCACGGTCTGACTGAGGTTGTCTAGATAGTATTATCATCAATATCACCAAGATTAATAAAATTATGCTTACAAGTATGTAATAAATAATGGGTGAGAGGATCTTTGAACCATGAACCAATACAATATTCAGAGTAATTGACACAGTACCTATAGAAGAAAATAGAACAATGATTGTAACGTGGAGATCTACAATTTAACGTTCATTATACAGGGTGTATCTAAATAACACCGAAAGAATTCAAGGGAGGATTCCTTGTGATATTTTAGGAAATGAAGTTTATATAAACATGTGTCCTAACTTGCTTCGTTTTCGAGATACAGGGTATTCATATTTTTATGAAAATTTTTTTTCTATTCATTTCTCAATTGTCTTTTCATAAATTTCAATGAAACGTTGTGGTTTTGTTAGTAGTAATATGGAGCTTCTTTTAGTGCGAAATAGTATTTCCAGTGACGTCACAGCGGGTAAATTTATCCATGGTGAATGTCATTGGTACACCTGTGGTTTTTCTTCGTCTCATATTGTTATTAGATTGAACTATTGAAATAACAAATATTTCATCCATTGTGTGATTTTTGTATCTAGCTTAGTTTTTGAGGAAACAATAAAAATTCGATTTGACTCCAAATTTTAATATAGGTGTTTTCAAGACTTCCATTGAGATTACTCAATAACCCCTATTAGAATCATCATGAAATATTGGGGCTTTCTCAGTCTCCATCCATACTGAATTTTGACACTATGAAAGCTTATACAGGCGGGTTACAAATAAAAACAATTATTACTTCCAACTTCAACATCCTGTATCTTACAAACGGAGCAAGTTAGGACAATATATGAACTTCATTTGCTAGAATGTCACAAGGAAATACCCTTTGAATTTTTTCGGTGTTATTTAGATACACCCTGTATACTCACAGAAACACAAAATCGTTATATTTGCCACTCTTGAAGTTATTGTACTAGGAAGTGATATTTGCTTTAGATTGAACATGTCCTTGTAACAGATTTTTTTCACCTCAATGTCACCATTTTGTATATTTCCTTTGGTAGAATTCTCATTCTTTTCATACCTAGAAAATGTTTAAATATGACATATTATCTAATATCTATGTACAGGGTGTTCCTAAAAGGTCTGTAAAAAATCTCAACACATATCCCTAGAGATATGGAGTGAAGTTTTATCAAGGTATTCTTGTGAAAATCCGCTAAAGTGAGCAGATTTCGAGATATTCGAATTATTTTGAATAAAAAACATGTTTGCCCTAATCTTCGTGGTTGTAATTGTGTCAGTCAATCAGCAGTGGAGATATGAGTTTTTCAAAATACTTGTTCGGAGTGTACCTATTTGTGAATTCTTATTTGTTAAACATATCACCCTGTAACCCGAAAAGGGAGCAATTTTGGACTGCTTCAAATCGGCGTATTTTGAACTCAGGGATATGTGTTAAGATATTGTACAGTCCTTTTAGGGACAGCCTGTATGAGGTCTTGAAGATTTGCAGTTGGTTCAAGAAAATATTACCTTAGCAATAAAACTAATGGGGCTATAATACCAGCAGAAAGAAGACCACCAATTGTTATCAAATCAATGATTTGACTCAAATCCATAAATGTAGCAAGCAGCCCTTGAAAATATCACCAATTTACATCACAAATATCTATAAATATAGTTACTCATTATACAAGGGAAGAAGAAGTTGATTTCAGCTCCAGGTTGTGTTGTACAAAAAACCGTGAGCTAAAATGTAATATTTTCCCAGTGTGGAATGAACTATTTTTTTTGTGTGACAGAGATAAGACGACGAATTAATATTGAGGAGATATTGAAATCAGGAAATTTTCGACGTAAAATTTGTTTTCAAAAAAATTGTTGTTTTTCTCTCGTTTTCTACCAGTCTTGTTCATTTATGAACTTTTCTGGAAATGACTTTGAACTTTACTTATTTATTTAGCATTTCGTTCGACTTCTTCATTCACTCAATGCCTAGGGAGTAAAGAGAACCGTTATACTCAGTTCATTATTTCAAAGAAACCTGACAGATTACAGATTATCCAACTGATACTTTTTGAATCAAATATAAAAACCAATAGGTTACTTCATGTATAACATGCTATATGTATACCTGAGGACAATCCTGATAGTACAGTGGCTGCCAGAGGAATTTTTGTTTTTGGATGAACCTTCGCCAAGAATTCGAACAAAAGCCCATCATTCGACATGGCGTATATTATCCTTGGGGACACGTACATTGATCCAAACATACATGACAAAAGAGCAAAAACGGCCCCTATGGTTACGATCCATTTCATTGTTGGCCAACCAAGTTGATCGAAAACGTATGCAAAAGGTGCTTCTGTATCCTAGAATAAATAGTTATACAGGGTGATTCATTGGAAAATGCGCATACAATAAGGGTAGATGGAGGACACTGAGGTACTTCTAAATAATCTATATTTCATGGGTCTATCAATCTTTATAACGAAGATACAGAGTGATTTATTGATTTACTTCATTTTTTCAATTAATCATAACTTATGAAACACCCTATAAATTTTTTTGATATTTGGTTCGTATGTTCTTTGTCCACAGTGGTAACGATTGACATGATAAAACAATATCTCTTTCCAGGGCCGGCCTTGGACAAATTAATATGTAAGTTTCGAGTCGAACCAACACCCTGTATATAAATATTTTTGAATCCCATTCATGAATTTGGAGAGATCAAGAGGAATTAGGTGAGACCAAATGTATTTGGTGTTTCCGCATTCAACTTTTCTACCTATTAACTTGAGTCAAATCTAGAGGTTTCAATAATGAGGGGGCACAAAATTCGAAAAAAACATATTTGTGGTACCAAATAGTACTTTATCCATATAATCATCAATTTTCATTCTGTCTCCTTATTTTTGGATCCCAACCTGATTGAAAACGAAAGGACATGTCCGTATTTGGGACAAATTATTATTATAAATGACTAACTTCAATGTATAAGAAAATTATCATAAAATTATCATAACATTCATTTATCGTTCTCTATCCATAACAACAATTATAAGAATGTTGAACAATGCCAATTCCGAAAAAACCATAACTTCATTCAAAAAAAATGTCGTTGCAACAAATTGTATCGAGTTGAATTCATATACATACAACATGTTCATTATTATAAAATGTTTGTGTCATTGAGTAAGCAATATCTGTTATCAACGAATAACTTCACAACACAAAACACAAGTAAATAGTACAAACTCATCAACTTACGTCAAAATTGTACTCTAACATCAGCCACCTTGACAATTACAACGATTTGGAATATCAAACCAAAGTACAGACTGCTTTATTATTTTATCATTATTATATCAATTTGGGGACGACAAATTATTTTTTTCTCAATTATGTGCCACCTCATTATTGAAACCTCTAGATTTGACTCAAGTTAAAAGGTGAAAGAGTTGTATGCAGAAACACAAAATAATTTCAGTCATACTTATTTCTTTCTGCTCTTTCCATATTTGTAAATGAGATTTCAAAATATTGAATGTTGTTTCGATTCGAATCTTACTCATTAATTTTTTCAAGGCTGGCTCTGAAATGAAACTGTTTTCCATTATGTCAATCGTCACCACTGTGGAGAACGAACATACAAAAAATTGTATAGGGTGGTTCATAATTTATGATTGATTGAAAAAATGGGGGAAATCAATAAATCACCCTGTATCTCTGTTATGAAGAATGATAGACCCATGGAATATAGATTATTCAGAAGCACCTCGGTGTCCTCCATTTACCCTTACTGTATGCGCATTTCCTAATGAATCACCCTGTATATATATCAAGGTACTAAAGAATATCATTATTAGCCAGGGACCAAGATCATAAGGTAGTAATTCTTTACTACATTATTAGGTGGATATTACATTTTGTTCACCACTATCAATATATTTCAATTATATTATTGTTATATATACTTCCTGAACGCCTTTGTAATTATTCCCGAAAACTTATAACCTTCAAAAGTTTTTTCAAAAATCCAACACCTACCTCCTCTTCTTATCCTTCTTAGGTACACGTAATGTTCTTCGAACATTATGAGAATTGCTTTTCATGTGCTTCAAGCATTTTTTAAAATCAATGAAATATGTCCTCAAAGTTTCATGCAACTTCAATGAAACACCCCACCCCGTATATACAATGTGACTTCTAATGGAAACACCCCTGTATCGTACGTAATTGTTGGGTAAGGATCCTGAAATTTGCTGGAGCGAGAGATATAAGAAAAATGCACTCTATGACCAAGTGGGGTCATCTTCAGTGATATACACTGCTCGCCAACAGCCATGGAACCACCCCAATCTCCGGAAAATGATATTAGGAGTCTTACGTAATTGACTTTTTCTTTGGACATTCCCTTCCTCCTGCAAATTTCAGAACCCTACCTCAATAATTACGTGAGTACGGCGGTGCTTCCATGAGAAGTGAGACAAAATTCAATTTTTCTGACCCGAACATTTTGTAGGAAAACTATGAATAATTAGTGAATTGGTCATAGAATGCATTTTTGGCATATCTCTCGCTCCAGTAAATTTCAGGATCCTTACCCAACGATTACGTAAGATACAGGGGTGTTTCCATCAGAAGTGGGTCACACTGTAAGTAAATCACCTGTAAATAATACGGCCAAGCCAAAGTCAGTGACGTAGAGAGGGCAAAATAAGCTAGGAACACTATGCACAAAGATATTAGTATCGCTAGAGGAATGTCCCTTTTTGGATTTTTAGCTTCTTCGCTGCAGTTGGCAGGGGTGTCGAAACCTCCCAGCCCGAAAAAGCATTGGGGTGTTCCTGCAATGATTCCTGCTATCCCGAACGGTAGAAAACCTCCCTCTCCTGCTGCTGAACGGTACGTTTCGTCCACGTTTTCTGGGGATACCTTCCAATTATCTGAATCAGCTGAAAAAGATAAACGAATGCATAATGTTATAAGATAGAACGTCCGGGTTCGGTCTTTCACAAACACTCAGAAGATAACAAAACAATTTATGGCTGATTCAAGTTCAGTTCCCAACCAATTGATATCGGAGAAGCAGCATAAAATATACAATTTTCTTCGATAATCCATACTTTCATTATGTAACGGGTGTTGAAATGAACATTTCATGTAACTATTTTACTCGCTAGTCGCTCTCTATACATTACTGCTCCCGTTGGGCTACTTGCCGATATTTATATCTGACCCAAGACATTCTGGCGTTTTCATAACTTTTAAGATCTTCCGCCAAATCCTCTTCCAAGAAGTGCGCGTCTATTTTCTCTTTCGTTTCAGTTTCTGAATGTATATTACAATGACTATAAAACCTATTGAAATGACTATTGAATTCATCCAGAATGAGATTCTACAGGATGATAACCAAGGTAGTGAAATTTTTACAACATTTTAAAAGCCTCCCGTTTGGGAGGAACATTTTTGTAATTCTTTCTGAGGAAAGGAAATTTTCAAAAAATAGAAATATTTTCCTTCCTGAAATTTTAGAAAAATTGCACAACTTTAATTTAACTTTCAACCTTACCCAAAATCTTCACCTTTTATGTAGCACCCGACCACCATTGTGCAGATGGTCACGGCATTCAAAAAAGTTGATACGCTATTGATTGCTGCCGAATTCTTGAATCCTATTGATAGAATGACTGAAACCAACAAGTGCAATTCGATTAGTGTCCAAAACCAACCTCCTCTCCCTATCCTTCCTATGTACAGGGAGTCCAACTTAAATGTGCCACCCACTTTTATCCTCGTAATTCTAAACATATTTTGGTCGTTCAGAAACGTTTCTGGAATATTTTTTACGAATTTTATGAATCTGTGCGTAATTTTTCTTTATTCCACAAATTACAGGCTGGCTTCAGGAAGAAAACATTTTCAAATGAAATCATTATTTTTTTTTTCATAATTTGGTGAAGCACGTCAATCTGAATTCAAAAATAAATTTCATCCATATATTATTATCGGATAAAATTTAAAAGGTTTGATTTGAATTCAAATGTTTTCATCCTGTATTTGGTTGATGTGCAGGAAAAGTGAGCACAGATCCAAAAACATCTAAATAATGTTTTCCATTTAACTTTTTTGAATGTCTTGAATTTGTTGGGAATTACGAGGATAAAGAGGAGTGACACATCTAGGTGGAACACCCTGTACTAACTATGTTCTTCGAACATTATAGAGATTATCTCTCGTGCACTTTTTTTTCATGTTCTGGTTCTCACGAAAAGGGATATCCTGTAATATTCAGAGAACATCGTGAGAACCAAGAAAAATAAGGTAGGAATTGGTGTTCTTCTTAAATTTATCGAGGTTATATGCCTCGGGGAACACCTCCCTTGGCAATGTGTTCCAGAGCCTCGCTGTTCGTTGGATAAACGAGTCTTTGGAAAGAGATGTTCTGCAGGTCTTCAAAGTGACCACAAAGGGGTGCGAAGCCTCAACTCGGCGGGTTAATCTCGCGGGGACTGCCAATGGAGGAACAATTGTTGATATTTCAGGAGAGCATCTTCCATGAAAATATCGATAAAATTGGGCCAGATCGCCAACTTGTCCCCATTCTAGAATTGTTGCCAAGTCCATATTTTGGTTGTCAACATTTCTCACTGGTTCGTTTCTGATTTGCGATTAAAGAAAATTAGGAAAAAATTGCGCTGTCTTACTGGTTAACGAAATGAGGATTCCCAGAGCTAGTAGATTTGGATACTTTGATAGATACTGGACGTCCATAGGCATCCAATCAGTCAGGGTATGTTGAATACTGTTATTGGTCAAGACGTCTATGTATTTGCTCATCGCACTAGCAACACTAGCTGAACCTGAAAATAATATTGAAAATTTCACACCAAACATTTTCGATCAATTCAAAGCCTGTATTTCGTATCGTTGTTGACGTTTATGGGTAGGTAGGTATATTGTGACCCTGTATACCTACGATTTATTCAACAGCATATTTAGAGTGAGCATCATCAAAAATATTGGGTGACCAAATTTCAAGTCATTCGAACACGCGGTTGATTTTTTACAGGAGGGGACATTTTAGCTGGGACACGGTGTATATATACACTGTTGATGGCTTTTGTTGTGCTATAGTTCCGAAAAATGAGTCAATAATACCGTGTCCGAGAAAGAACTGCAAGTCCTTTTATCTTCCATTCGACTTCGCGGTTACGTATATTGCTTAAACAACCACTAAATTCGCAATTTTTTGAAATCAAATCACAGAATTAGACTGACAGAAGTGACATCAGATATTTGACTACTTCAAAAAAATGATGAAGATGCCTACAACGCAGGTTTCCCTACTGTTAAAAACTTAAAATTTCACGTCGATAATTTTCAGAATTCAAAATAATGTAATATCTTCTCAATATTGATTCATCCTTTCTTCTGTCACAGAAAAAGATAGTGCATTATACACGTGAAAAATATTAGATTTAAGCTCACGGTTTTTTGTTTCCCTCCGCTACGCGTTGGGAGACAACACAACCTGGAGATAAAATATATTACTTTTATCCCTTGTATAAAATAATAATATAATATTTGTTTGTTTATTCAGGAATTTACAATATATATAATACAAATATATTTTTTCCCATGATATAAAATGATAGCAATAATAAATAACTATTATACCAACTTTAGCTAAATGTTCTTGTGAAAAACTGTGAAAAATGTATTTTTGCTCATTCTTCTATTGGTAATTCCTCCATTCTCCCTTTGCTCTTGCTAAGACATATCAATTATTATGAATGTGATTCAATAGGCCAGCAACAACAAAAGAAGACAAAATTGAGAATATCTCCAAAACAAGGAAGTGATTTTTTCGCTGGAATACTCACTTAGGATACAGCCTAGAATTAAATTCCAGCCTATGATAAATGCTACAAATTCACCAATGCTGACATAACTATAGATATAGGTGTAGCCTGCTCTAGGAACTCTACCAGCAAATTCAGCATTGCATAATCCTGGAAAAAATATGTGGTATCTGAATAATTCCTCAATAATTGCTTCTTACGAAGGGTGTTTGGGCCAATTGAGAGTTATACTATACTGGTCTACAACTGAAAACTCCATTATTCATCACAATTTTGTGATGAATGGCAGATTCATTATTATCATCAGAATCCTGCGAGAAATTGTAAATTTTTACCAGCAATTTTTTTCTCACATCTTTCCAATGATGTAATTCGATACCTATTTACCTTCAGGTACTTTTTGGCCAGGATAATACCTATAGGTCGCTGACTTTAGACACCCTAGTTCGCATTAATTCGCACTTTCTATGTCTGGCTATGTCTCAATAGTATAAAACCAAGTTTGCAGCTCCGAAAGACCTAAGCTAAAAGTGTGGTGCTTGATAAATCACAAAATGTCTACTAGTTTCAGGTTCCAGCCCAAGAGTCGATAAATTCTCGCCAATTTGAGGCTAATTCTATTCTTGTAGGACTGAAACATCCCAAGATACATATACAATGTTCATTGTACCAGTATATCACCTGACGAAGCTACTGATGTGCTGGCGAAACATGTCGTGAGTTTGAGAGTTTTGTGGAAATCTTATCGTTTGTGGAGTTTTTACATTTGCCAAGGATTTCCTTCAAGTAACTTCCGAGTCAATTCAAGAATGGGCGTGTACACCTTAGTAGAACTTTTAACTCAAACCATGTTTATAATGATCCATTTATACATAAATAATGATTGACGACATAATTCGATCGAAAAATTAACTGGAATGTTTCATTTTTGGACATAAATAATAGTACCTTCAGAAAATGAACCCTCTTATGACGTAGAAACCTCATCTCGCCATAGTTAAAAGAAAATACCAAATGCCCGACGGAGACTGAGGCAACTGATATATTAAATCTTTCAACAGTTTCAACTGTGATCTCGCGCTAATTCACTCTGTCAGAAATCATGTATCATGTCTGGAATAGTCTTGTTTCAGTATTAGGGTTTTGACGTCACACCATCGCCTCGTTTTCAGAGGTCCGAAAAATCGGGGATTTCAATAATTTTTTATAAAACGTAGGGAGCTCACATCAAGAAACGGTTTGTGGTGGTGAGCTAGCTTTGGGTGAGTTCTATCGAATTATGAAATAATTTTTTTGGCTATTGCCACACCGAGGTCTACTTGTGATTCCACTGATTGGATTTATACGTTGCCAATGTGCGATATCAAGTTTTTAGGTTGTTTCGACCAATATGCAGAACTGTAAATTTGCATGGCATTTGTGGGATTAACCAGTCGTTACACCAATATTCCAAAAGTACCAAGTCGTATTGTGAGGGTTGCAAAATAGTTTCGTATCATCGGCATAGAAGGAATGGGTGCAGTGCAGAACTGATAGTACCTAGGTCTGATTTATATCAAAGAAAAAGAAAATGTGTCCAGGACAGATACCTGGGGAACGCTAGAAAAAACATTGTGCAGGCTGGAATAATACTTTTCCAAAGATGAAGGCATTCGAGTAGATGTGTTTCAGTGGAACGATCAGGTGGAAATCCATGTTGGTTGTCAGGTATCAGTCCCTTCAGGAGGAGGAAACTGAGGAGAACATTTGTTATTATAGTTTCCATTATTTTAGCACATGTCGGGGTGAGATAATAAGGTTGATAGTTTATGGGGACAAGTTTGTCGCCCTATTCGAATATCGGGGTTACTTATCGATTAACCAGGATGCTGTGCAAGTTCCTGTGTCGAAATAAGTTTGAATTTTGTGAGCCAAAGGTCCAGTTAGTATCGAGGCACAGTTAGTCATAACTGATCCAGATATGTTATCAAGTCCCGGGGACTATCTATATGGTAATTTTCTCAAATAATTCTCTAAGACGGTTATTGGTACCTAATGATGCATGAAATCGAATGATACGTGAATGATTGGAGAAATGAATCTTTATGTATGGTTCCACTGTGATCTAAACAGTCATACTCTGACTGACTGCACTTTTTAATTGATACCATCATTTCTGGAGAGTTGGAAAATAAATTGAAACAAAAATATTGAGGTATCATGATTAGAGGTCAAGTACATTGGGGAACGCTGGTGATATTTTGATTTATATTTCATATCTTTGGTATTAAGAATAGGTTTGTATAGTGTTTTTTTGAAGTCAACAATGTTGCTATTGGGCCTATACGCTCGTTTATAAGCTTGGATTGAATACAATACAACTTTGAATCCTATAATTTTCCTCGTCGGATGAGTATTAGAGCCGATATTTTGCTCAGAAGAAGGCCAAAACTGCAATTTTCAACTTTTGGAAAAAAGCAACTTTTTGAAGTTTTGTATCTTGAAATGTTTCCGACTAATAAGAATGAAATTAGACTGAAATTTTCGGGAATTCATCCAGTTTCAATAATGATCAGATTGATTTTTTCTTCAGGATCCCGCCTTTTAGGACTTTTGGGCTAGAAACCAAAATCAGTCAAGAAATTTCGAGGTTTCATGAACACCACACTTTTAGCCTATAGGTCTTTCGACGCTGCAAACTTGATTTTATACTATTGAGACATAGCCAAACAACATGCAGAAAAAAAGGTAATTAATGCGAACGTTGCCCAATTTCTTGTCTAGGGTCAGCGGCCTACCACGTATTTGTTTCAAAATAAATATCTGAGAAAATTAAATTTTGGCCTTCAGATTTTTTATCTGAGAATTTTATTACCTATTTGTTAGTCATGAGTTATTGTTTGAAAATGGTTGTTTTCTGTCAATAACATCAATTCGAAAAATGCTGTCCTATTTTAATTTATTGAAGAGAATTCCACATCATGAGCAATGGAAGATATAGTAACGAGGTACTGACCTAATTTGCTCCGAAATTCAAGACTGATGAGACCTTATGTCTATCAACAATAGGAAAAATCGAACAATCTGAAATGATTGCACGATGGGAGCGGCTTGGAATATATACGGGGTGGCCCATTCAAGCCGTTCCACCCTGAATTACGTTTGAGTTCACTCAAATGGTTTGAATCGTCAAGAAATCCTTGTCACACGATTTGAAGAAAAATATTGGTTAAGTAGGTTTTTTGAAATGTAAAAGGAAAAATAAACTGAAAACTCATTACCTATATGGTATTCTGTACAGTATTTGTAATACAGAGAGTGATTGAAAAAAGAGGTAGATATGGAGAAGACAATGGATCCAAAGAACAAATATTGATAGAGGGTAGAGGAGTCCTAATGATTTTTGATGAAGTCAGACTGGAAGATTTCAATAGTTTCCAAAACTGTACCTAAAAATGGATGAGAGATGTTTCAGCTATATCTATGAAATAAAATCAAACCATATATTGAAAAGACAAATAGTAATAAGCGTGAATGTATCCCTAGTCATCCTAGCATAAAATTGGGATTGAAGCAAGACAAAAATATTCCTATAATTATCCAAAATAGTTCCAATTAATATCAGTACCAGCAGACATTCTTGAAGTAATGATAATATTAATCATAGTATTTGTCATTAATTCCTAAGATAAAGAAAAATAATCATTTAATCAATGATGAAAACATGAAAACCAACATCCTAACCTGATTGTTTTATCCAACATGTCATATATTTAGATCACGTTCTGAATTTCAGCTGCTGTTTGACGTGACGTCATTGATGACATCACAGATATGTAGTTGGATCAAATCGTTGGACCGTGAGAGACGGCCTTGAGGCGTCATAATTCGAGCTTAATTTGTCATCTGTCATGGCTTCCACCTCCCCTTGAGAATCATTCTGAAGAAGAATTTCAAATCGGAACATGAGTCTAGTGATACCTACCTCATTCGAAAGGTATTTCTACCCCAATGATAGTCATATTATGTTTTATGCATATTGGTAGATTAGTTTTTTGAATAGAAATAAAAGTTGACCTATCTAAGCATTTTTTCATTCAATCTTGCCTTCAAACGTTATCCAGGGTGAATCGTCTCGAATGGGCCACCCGGTATACAATAATATAAGTATGTATATGTATCTCATAAAAAAAGTAAACGATGTCGATGGAATAAGTTTTCAGAAAAAATATGAATACATATGAAGTTATGGTTCCTCCACCATAATTGATGACGTGGAAATTAGAGATGGTATATTTGTTCACGCGGCCATCACAATGAAGTCTCTACATCGTATCGATTCATTATCTAATGTTAGATTTTCTCCGATTCTATATACGCAAAAATCATTAGTGATTTTGGTGATTCCGAATCCGAGCCCAGTTTTGGGTCTATTTCTGAAGAGTATTATGATCTCTTGACGCCGGTCTATCCTGAAGGTGAAATCATCGATGAAAAGATATACCTATTGACATTGAATGTTATTATTTCTGATCCAAAATGACGTACTGATTCCGAATCAATTTCAATTTTTCTTCACTCTTTCGACCTAATGCATGAGGGTACCAAATTTGTTCCAATTATCTTTGTTTCAGTTCTCTTGGAATTATTTTTTCTTATTGACTATATTTTTATCCTGGCTCTCTTTTATTGCAAGTGTCGATACTCAAAACTCCGCACTTATAACATGATCCTTTTGCCAAAGGAAGTATTCCCAAGAATAACTGAAAACTCCAAAAGTTAAAAAAAATCCAATACCGACCTCCTCTCCCATCCCCCCTATAGGTACGCACGATGTTCTTTGAACATTATTGGGATATCCTTTCGTGCGCTCCAAGTGATAAGAAAGGTAAAAAAAAGTCTCCTTTAATTATCAACTGAACGTTCAACGAAAAAGAGATAGTCTGGTGATAAATGTACTAAGTATATGTGTAAGCAAATACATTTATTTAGTATTTTTCACCTAATATCAATACTATTGGCGTAATTAGGACAATACCTATGTTTTTTATTACGTATTCAATAGGTGCGAATGGAAAAATTTCAAATTTTATTGTAACATAATATGGAAAAATGTCCATTCATGATAACTAATACTCCGATTACTGAATAAACACAATATTGAAATGTTGGCACCATTTCAGTAATATAACATACTAAGCTCTTTCATAACGGTAACTCATAATATATAAGATGTTTATGAAAATAATTTTCAGTTACTTTCAATTTCAATCACAAAAAAATCTCCTTACGACTAAAATTTAAAGGAACATTTCTTCTTAAAATAGGGTTTTCTATCAGTTATCTAATTTCTGCTACTAAGGTGAACCACCCTGTATCTGAGTTGAAGCGCTGATCACGGAATTGCAACTAATTAGTAGAAAAAACAGACTGTATTTGAAATTATGTGTCAGATATTATTTTTCCAAGATAAAGTTTATTCACTCAAGTCGTGAGAACCATCCATTTTCTCAAAGTGGTCCAGAATTTTTCGAAGGAAAAATACAAAAAACCCCAAGTCGATCAACCACAACAAATTCATTACATAAGACATGTAACTAGTTTCGGTACTCGGCCATCATCAGACACATAATATGGTAAGGAACAACGATGAAATTTTTTTTTATTTATCAAAAATGAAAAATTTATATTATAAATAGTCTTTGTATAAATGTTTCATCGTTGTTCCTTACAGGTGCTTTATATTATGTATCTGATGATGGATGAGAGCCGAAACTAGATACACGACTTATATAATAAATTTGTTGTAGTCGACTGACTTCGAGTTTTTTGTATTTTTCCTTTAATTATTCCCTTACCTGAAAACAATGAAACAATGGCTGCCGCGACAAATGACAGGCAAGTAGCAGGTCCTGCTGATGTTTTCGCTACTGATCCAGCGAGGACGTATACACCTAGCCCTAAAGTAGAGCCCACGCCTAGCGATACCAGATTGGCTAGAGTTAGGACCCTGGCCAGTTGGGTCGAACTGTCATCGTATCTTCGTTTTTTACGAGATAGTGCCGCAAAAAATCCAGATGCTGTCATCTGAATAAAACAATAATAACTAGGAAATAGAATAGCCACAATGCTCAGAGTGGAATGAAATGAAGAATAAATACAAAAAGCTCATAAAATGAACAACAATGGTAGATTTCGGGAGAAAAACAACTACTTTCCTGGCTAATACCACGCAGAACATTGAATTACATCCTCCCGAAATCTATGCATCGACTCGTAGAAACGAATACTGATATCAGTATGGAGTAATGGAGTGTTTCTTTCCTTCTATTCTACTCAGATGGCGTTGCTTTCATATTGTCTATGAAAGACTCTTCTGGGGGAAATATAATGCCTACTTGAGTTTTGTTTGGCTAGGCTACGCTTAGTCGGCGGTCTTAGCACTGCTGTCTGGAGTTCGAAACCAGCCTGTAGGTGTCTAGCGTGGCCTGGCTAAATCGAAATCAGTAGGCATTCAGGAAAGAATCACTTGTATCAGTATTCGTTCCTTCGAGTCGATGCATAGATTTCGGATGTAATTCAATGTTCTGCGTGGCATTAGTCATCAGGAAAGTATTTGTTTTTCTCCCGAAATCTACCATTGTTGTTCTTATTCAGTTATTTATTATACAAGGGAAAAAAGTAGTAGATTTTAGCTCCAGGTTGTGTTGTCTCCCGACGCGTAGAGGAGGGAGACAAAAAACCGTGAGCTAAAATCTAATATTTTTCCCGTGTATAATACACTATTTTTTTTTGTGACAGAAGGAAGGACGAATCAATATTGAGAAGATATTACATTATATCGAAATCTGAAAATTATCGACGTGAAATTTCAAGTTTTTAACAGTAGGGACACCTGCGTTTTATAGACATCTTTATCATTATTTTGAAGTAATCAAATATCTGATGTCACTTCTGTCAGTTCAATTCTGTGATTTGATTTTAAAAAATTGCGAATTAAGTAGTTGTTTAGTAATATACGAAACCGCGAAGTCGAATGGAAGATAAAAGGACTTGCAGTTCTTTCTTGGAGACGGTATTATTGACTCATTTTTCGGAACTATAGCACAACAAAAGCCATTAACAGAGTATATATATGTGATATATATCCGGGAAAATAGTAGATTATACCACGAGTCAATAATGATAGCTATTATTCTCGAGGATTTTTTACGAATCGAGCCGCGTTAGCGGCGAGGGAGTAACATTCCGAGAGAATAATAGCCATTATTGCGAGTAGTATACTCTACTTTATTTGCGACTAATATATAAACTTGTGGTTTTTGAAGTATAATGCCATATATTAATCCCGCAGGGAATAATGGCGAGGGATTAATAGTCTTTATTCCCTGCGGGATTAATATATGGCATTATACTTCAAAAACCACAAGTATAATATATTAGTCGTGAATAAAAGTAATTTATGAAAAGTGACATTTTATAACCTGCCAACAGAGATGAAATGCCAAACTTTTTTCCCGTCACAGAAAAAATAAACATTGTGTGGTTATGACTGAGCGTTTTGATTATATTAAACAATAATAGTTATTCAAACACCATGGTAGTAAAAGAATATATAATTATTACCCAGGGACCAAGATTATATACCGAGGCTTCAGCCGAGGGAAATAAGGTCCCATGGTAATAATAATACAAAATATACAGACACACCACAAAAAAGTTACACTTCACTAATGATACTTATATACATTGATACTTACTTTTAGAGAACGACTCTGTGGATGCGCTGACCAGAATGCGGGACTGGCATTCACCTGACTGATCTAAAGTTGAAAAAACAGTCGTTTGGAAAGTTTGAAACAGAAGAAATAGCTTAGAATGGGTAAGTAATACCCTATATTAATTAAGGTACCACAGTCAATACACGGTAAATACTCAAGCACGACTGAAACTCAATTTGTTGATAACCTTCCATTTGAATATTCAACATTAACATTTCTCGCATCGATTATTTTCAAAAATGTCAATGCTACGGTAACTTTTTTAATATAAGTAAACGTTATTGGTTACAATGCCATTCCTATGAGTACCTATTCATGTATCTCAGACATGCAAGTTTGTTAGGTTCTATGAAATCTTATATCCTATATATGATTATTATTACTCACCAAGATATTTGATAAAATCGTACACCTTTTGATTTTTCAATCTTTTTCACAAATATATCACAAATACATACCACTTTGTATAGAAATATAATATAAAATATCACAGTGATTTTCTGGGAGGTCATTGATTGAAAAATTGCTGAAGTTAAAGGAAAAACATAAGAAGTTGTACTCTAGCCGTCAAGTTTTGAAAATAATGTATACCTATTTGATTGACCTTATCATTCTACAGCTATGTTGATCAATCATGAGCAATCTACTAGCTAAGGGGAGACTTTAAAGTACAGCCGTCTTCAGAGGTCATGTCGCAGATGTGGTCCTACATAGGGCCAATCGCAGCATATCCTCTATGGAGATGATTGTACAAGTACCTATCTCATAAGAGGCCGAAAAGTATGGTGAAATCATTGTTCAATTTATTAGCATTTAGTTTTTGACTTCGTTTATGATACGAATCGATTATTGAATATCACTTTTTGTGTAATGATACACAAGTAAACTAAATGATTACTCTGATCTCCTCACTAATATCTAATATGGGTGACCTATACAGGGTGTCCCGAATTTAGCCTGCCAAACTTCACCATTTATTTTTTGAGGAAAGATTGTTGTCACTTGTAAACGACATTACAATAATTTTACTTCTACAACCGCCTGTGTCAGCGGAGGCAAAAAGTCTGCTCATTTGTTTCGATTATTATTCGGTGTGTTCTTATGTACTCGTTTCAAAGTTCAAATCGATTAAACATTGTACAGCGCCACGGCATATACGGTGTGTATTTTCCATTCGACGAATGACATGACAGCGGCTTCTTAGGTCGGCCTACTTAGATGGTGGATGGACCCACGAACGAATTCGGGCCGATTATTTCAAGAGCGCTTCAAGGACACTCGAATTTCGAGGTCTCGCGATTACACTGAACTCGATTACTTCAGGCGGACGTTGATACACAGTAGCGCCATCACAGGGGGTTAGGCACAAACGGGCAAATTAAATATTGTGAAGTTTCGGCTGGATTCGGTTCAGGACGGACCCCGGTTGGACCGGAACCAATCTTGGGAATACCAAACAGTCTGGCAATGTACTCCATAGAGGGACAGCTGCAAAAGCAATTCCTCAAAATATGGCAGGACACACCAGGAATGAGACAATCGAAGCTCCAAAAAAGGGAACCTGCGAAGAGGCTCACAAAAGAGGTTTTATCCCTCAAAAGGCGAGACCTTAAAATGGTAGTAGGGCTTCTAACGGGACACAACCACCTCAATGGGCACCTAGAAACGTCATCGCATGTCCTCACTAAGTTCCCAGAACTGACACATCCTTGGCAACATGATTTTGAGGCCAGAGGACCTGAGAGAGATTCAGCTGAGGAAGCTGCTGAACTTCTCCAAGGAAGTCGGCATACCCAGCTGAATGTCGGAACATGTGGGTGCACAATGGGCCCGAATAAGGAGGCCTACGTGCAGGGGTGTTCACCCGCTCACCATAGTGCTTCGAAGAAGAAGAAGAAGGTTTCGGCTGGGAATAGTCCTGCACTATTCACACTGTTACGTTCCAAGGAAAAGTTCTGCTCCTGAAATGACGCGTGGAGTTATGATGATGTGGTTGTGAGCATCAGATAAGTAGTAGGACGGTGTATGTAGGTGGGTGTGGAAAACTACCAGCTGAACGTGAGAGCGGGCCAATGCTACTTAGAGAGGCTCTAATGGGGCTTAACGAGGTAGCTGGAATAATTACTAGCCTAAAAAACACAACCGAGAGACTCTGAAAGAGAGCTGATGGACTGTTTCGAAAAAGGTTGTTAGCCAGCTTTCCTGAACGAACCACATCACTGATCACACATTGGGGTTTGCGAAGAGATGTCCTTAGGGACTAGTTACTGACGTGCAAACGTCCCCCACTTCAAGGTACCGAATAAAAGGTTGGGTGGCTGGGGCTACTCTGCACAATGGGGTTGTACACCACTGGACGAATTTAAGCCACATATTTTATATTGATCGTTTCATGCATTGATTGTATTTGATACTGTCATTCATTATTTAAAATCAATACAAATATTTTTGAAGTGATAACTTCTATATTTAAGCCCGTTGGGCACTTTCTGGGATGGGAGTAAATCGGCAAACTGGCGTCACTGTCACCGCGTATACCATGAGACCGGCATAATCATGCACTTATGATTATGCCGGTATATATAAGTTACCACATCCGACGTGTGGTCGGTCCCATACGCACACCAGTCAATAATCGAAATAATATACTTCTTAAAACGCTATAGCTATCGATAACGTGGTATTCCGATAAGCACTAATATTGTCATTTGTCATATCTCTCAACATAGTTCACCACAACAGGATTGTACTGAGAAACAAACAATACATAAGTCTTTTTTTTGGCGAGGTGGTTGAAATCCTTTATGGACATCATATTTATCTAATCCCTGATATGATAGTGTAGGAGTGCCCTGACTCTAGCCAGGCTATACTAAACACTCCACTTCGTTTATAAGCTGGTCTGACCGATGTATCCGATGACACTTAGGCCTAGTGGCCCATTGTATCTTACCTAGTAGTTTTTTATTGTATACCCACTCCGTTATCTCTGTACCTTATTGTACAAGTCTGTACAAATCCGTCAATGGATGTAAGTTAGATATTAGATACTTCTGATGGTTCGCCGACTGGTTGCCCAAAAATTATCTGTCTCTGGCGGTCCAGTGCCTCGCATCTACGTATATGTGATATTTGTGAGTATATTATGTGATATTGTTTCTAGTTGCTTTCCGCATAGTCTGTAGCTTGGGATTCTATTGTATAGTCCCATTCTACTGACGTATGGCCAGTCATGAGTCCCGTGGCAGTTTTTATCTGTACTCCGTTCAAGTTGAGCAGGTCTGCAATTCCTTTATGACTTGGTTCCTTGATGTATTGTTTCCCAGGTCTGTTTCCTGAGATTTCTTCCCATCAGTAGCTCTTATGTTTTTCCTGAATCCAGTCTCTACATAAGCCTTATCGTATGCATATTGTTTATCGAATTGTTATATGTAGAAGTATTATTAAGAAAGGTCTCTTGCTATGTTGCCGTTCACATGCCCTATAAGTTGCATTGGATTGATCATGATATTTATACTATATGTCAACACGTGTTGTCCTGTGTTAATCATGCTGTGAAATATTGTGAATTTCAAACATTATTTGAAATATGTACAGATCTCTGAGGAGAAAACGGTTTGTGACAGTGAACTACTTTGGGATAGTATACCTACTTCAAAATAATGAGATTAAACTTTTTATTGAAATTCTGAAAATTCCGAACATCATACCTATATGAGTAAGTCAATAGAAACAATTGATGTGAAACTCCGAAATATCGCCAGGAGTGTAGCTCTTCCGGATAAACCGGAAGTGGATACATGCATCCTTGATCTGATTGAAATACGCTGTCATACCATCTACGTATTATTTTGAAAAAAATCTCAAATGTTCCTACAGTAATTTCTAACCGCTTCCAAATTATTACCATTTTTGTATAGGACATTTTCAGTTTGCACTATACCTAGAATCCTCAAAAATATTACACCTGAAAATTTTGGAAATTGAATATCTGAAATTTCCACAATTTGAGCTTGTGGTCATGAAGATCTTAGAAATGAGATTCATTATTTCAGTAAAACTTATATGGTATGGTCGGTAATATCTTGTCATTTGGAGGTTTTTGAAAGCGCTGAATGTAATCTTCACCTAATCAAACACCCTGTATATCATCGCACGATCGAATGAGTAATATTTCAAATTTATTTCACATTCATGAAGAGTGTACTGAGATTTTCGAAAGAACTACATCACTATACAATCATATATTTTTTGAAAGTATCATTCTTAGAATTATGTTTCAGGCTGGCATCTTTCTATCCAAATTCCAAATCAATATGTTGAGTCACATCCGATGGAATGAATGTACAACCATGTACAACTGAAACTTCAAATGTGAAAGTGAACAACAAAATAAAGTACCTAGAAGTTGCAAAGTTGAGGAATCCTAAAAAATTACTAGTGGATCCGTCACTGGTTGTTGCTGGTGCATTCAATCATCTTGAGTTACAATGTAGCAAATAGGCCACGAATGGTGGAATTATCTGAGAGTGAAATTGATGATTATGATGATGAGGTTACTGGATGCGTGAGCCTATACGTATTTTGTTCGTGAAGAATGTCGCGAAGAAACCATTTTGTTTGGTTTTCAATCTTTATTACATCGTGAATTAACACCTAGATTGAATTAAAATGTCTGATGATACAAGAGAGCTTTCTATATACTTCATTCGTACTAAACTAAAATTTGCAGAGTTGAGGAACGCTGGTAATACCGTAGGTTTATCCATTCATAATATTTTTTAAGCTGTAGATGATATATTTGTTTTATCATTTAAGATCCAGATCATAGATTAAACAATTAATATATGTCCAGATTCTTCGGAAGCCAGCGATACATGAAACCATCTTATATATCTGAGCGACTTATATTCATACTGAGTGATCACGACATTCGAATGATTTCAGGAGCAAAATCAATAATAGTAGTTATCCTTTTTTATCAGGTTAGTAGCTGTTCTTGTTTTTAGGGTCCGCGTGGCTTCTGTATATTTTTATTTCTCATTTGGTATACTTTGGATTTGTTTTATGAGTTAGTAACACCCAATTAGTGCATTGATTAATAGATAAAGGCTAT